CAATATGGTTCATGGGGTCATGAAGAGTCAGACACGACTTAACGACTGAACAACAACAAATTAAGATAAAGGTTCCATGGGGAATTCTGCTTTATTTTATTTATTTTAAAACGAGTGTCCCATCTAAGGGATCAATAGCTTACAACAATTTTGGAAGACCATTTTAAAAAAAAAATCCTTAAGTTTTCATAAAAACCACCCAAGGGATTTGAATATTCCAAATTCATAAAAGAACTTGGAATGCAAATCACTGGAGGATGTGCTTTCAAGCAAAAGACTTGTTTAGGGAGGGACTGTATAGAACGCAGAGGGATATTTAAAATAATAATAAGAATAATACAAGGATAAAAGTGATAGTTGATATGGGATGAAACAGAAGTGAGGAGATGCTGGAAGGAGTATTTAGAAAAGAGTGGAAGATCAAGAGTGAATGTCAAGGGGGATTAGTTTGTTAAGCAGCAAACTGGTTGTGTGGAACCCAAATTATTTTCAGCAAATGATAGATTGTATCATACAACATGGAGTATGAATCTCAAAATTAATGCATTGAAGACCAAGGTAGTGTAGTGAACAATTGATTGATTATGTGCTATCAAGTCGTTTTCAGCTCCTAGTGACTATATAGACAGATTTTCTCCATGAAGTGAACAATTACAAGATAGATAGATAATAGATAGATAGATATGTGATAAAAAATTAGGGCAAATGCATGAATGTATAAACCTTGGCAGGTGTTTAATAAAGATGGAAAATGGAGAAATTTTAAGGTGTGTGCATCCTAATAGGTGGTGAGTAGTATGCAGTCTGTTGTAAGGAATAAATGTTTGTCTGAAGAAGCAAAAATAGCTCTGTAGAAGAATATAGGCCCACTTTGTCATATGGAAGTGGGAGGTAGGTATGTCAGAAGCATCAGGTTGATGGTAATGGAAATGGATTACTTCAGAAGCAAGAGTAGTAAAAAAAATAGATCAAGAATGAATGGGTGATGAATTAATGTGAATTGAACACAAATTGAATTACCATCATAGAAGTACAGTATGTTAAGGTGGCTTAGTGATAGAGAGAGAATCTAATCACAAACAAAATATGAAGGAAAAGCGAATGGATGCAGGGGAAGGGGAAGAAGACCAAGGAAGTCATGGCTGTGCAGATTTCTTGAGATCCTCAAAAAGAAAGAGACAAGTTTAAAGAAAAAAGAGCAATGTATGAATCAGTGTATTGATGTATGTACTATATTTCAATGTGTGTTCTCGTACAGAATGTATCCAGCATCTGTTTAGTTCAGTAGAACCTACTTTGGAATTAGAAGTGTCAGGGAAAAATCCATGTAAAAACACAGGAGGCAGACACACCATGAAACAAGTCACTTCAAAGTTCCAAGTGCTACTAAAACTTTAAAACTTTATTGAACATAAATTCAAGAAAAATTCAGCGAGTAAAATGCAATTAAAATGTAATTAAAACACACAAACACAAGGTACTTACACATTGCAATGCCAACCTGCTTGTCCAAGCTGTCAAACTGACAGCTCGTTCAAGAGGTACCATTTACCTAGATGCCACCCTTTTTATTCCGTTAAACCACAGACCACATTATGACGATCAGATCATTCCCTGAACTGATGTCGACACATGTCGTCTATGCCCTGTTCTTGGCACCTTTGATCTCAACAACATATTTATAATTTCCTTCATTTTGTAAGTTCCTCTTCTTTCTTGTAAATGCCCCTGCAGGTTACATATTGGTTATCTTGGCCTTACTGAATGCATTCAAACCTTCATTAAAAACATATAATAAGCTATTAATAATTTTCCCCTCACAGAAGGAATTGAGTTTGCTTTATTTTAAAACATGAGATTTGATTATCTAATCCACCACTAACACCAGCATGTATCTACCACTCTCCCCTTGTTACTGGCATCTGAAGTCTTATGAGAGGAATGTAATATCTGAGTTAACTGAAAGATACAGGGCAAGGCAGGGGAAGTGGAATAGAAAAAGGAACAGAAACTTGTCCAGGCTACTTGACCTGAAAATTGCATATCTGAAGAGCAGATCATTTGATTCTAGGTGAGCTCCACCTAATTAGCTGCCCAAAAGCATTGTATCCTATTTACCTGTTGTGGCATTTTCTTTTGAAACAGAATTAATGGCTCATCTAAGGCACTAGGGCAATGTAATGAAATTTGGAAATTTCTTCACACACTATTAATTTGGGTGGTCTTTGGTTGGGTTTTAAAGAAGATAAGCCTGCACTGAATTAGGAATATCTTTTTTTTAATTGGTCTGCAGCCAAATCACAGTGTCTGCATTCTCCCATGATCCCATGAAAGTGTTGCCATTTTTTAAAATACTGCCTACCTCATGGCGTGAAAACCCACATTAGTGCCCATCCCCCAGGTGACACTACAGTATTACTGACAAAACTAAGTTGTGTCTGGAAGTGAGGAGAAACATAAAAATAAGCTGCCATAGGATGGTATACTGTACTTAAGAATCGTGTTGTAAAACAAGAAAAAAAATAGGGTCAAGAAAGAATGGAGGTGAATGAAAGTAGATTGTCAGAAGTAAATGTAAAAAAAAAAGTGGTTTGGCCATATAGAGAGAATGAATGAAAATATAATCAGAAAACAAATATATCTTTGTGATTAAATTTTATATAGAGTGCGTGGTTCACAAAGTGGAAGACTCAGAAATTTATGGTTGGATAGAGTGATTAAGACCAGCAAAAGAGAATATGTGTAGCTCAGGGTTGAACTGTGGAGTCCTTGGTGCTCTCTGAGTTTGGGTGTTTGATTGTAAACACTTCATTACCCAACTAGTAACATCATCAGTACTAGTGAGTGTAGGTTCCCTGTTTATATACAGTCGTTGCCCTGCCAATGTTGATGGGGATGTGGTTTTCTCCTTGGTACCTCTTTGATTACGGTGTTCTTTTCTGCTTAATACTGTAATTTGTCTGGCGTTATTTCCCTTCTTATCTGTGTGTGGACTGGTGGAGAGGATGTGTGGTCTTTTTGATTCCTTCTTATAAGTAAATGTGGTTTATGTGTCTATTTATGGTTGATGTGTCTGAGTGCCGAGCTTCCAGGGTGCCACGTTTTCAGAGTAAGTAAGAGTTTGAAAAGAGAGAGAGAGAGGTTCAAAGAGCAAAACATGATGTATGACTTGGCATAAGAATATGGTGAGTGTAAGGATGGTTTGCAAGGATAGAAAAATACCATACAGAATATACTCCTTTATTTTTTATATATGGAATTTATCTGACTGCCTGAAATCAAGTGATCTCTAAGTGGTTTAGAGAATTTACATGATTAAAAACAGGATACAAAATCAGAATAAAATTAATTAAAATGGTAACTAGAGAGAAAATAATCAAAATAGTAACTAGAGAAAAAAAAGCAAGGTTTTTTTTTGCATACCTTGGTCTTTTGCTTATTTTGTATTTTTCTAAAATAAAGATTAATAGTTTTTTAAAAAAATT